CTCTTTCAGTAAACTAACTAATAAACAAATTACCAGGTTTTTTCAGGAAAAATGGCAAAGAGAATGCATAGAAGTGTCAAACCAAATTTGTGATCAAAGTGTTAAGTCGTTCACTGTATATGATTCCGTATTCTTCCATGGTTAACACTTCATCTCAAATTATCCTCTGATTATTCCTGCCTACTAAACAATATAAGATTGTATATTGTTCAAAGGTGAAATTCTATAGAATAGATTTTGCCATAACATAAATGTCTAAAATAAGTTTGTTTGCTTTCATACTCACTATCTGTCAAACTTTCCTCAATTATCTCTCTAAATTTGGAAGTGAATTATTTGTCCAAGAGTACTTCAGAAAAAAAACTAAAAGAAGGTGCAGTGGTACCTTGGCTCACAAATTCCTCAGTTCATGACCAAATCAGATTGTGAACAGAAATTTCTGAAAAATTTTGCCTTGGGTCGCGAACTCCGCATCTGGTGACAATTGCAATCGTGCCTGTCTCCCTGCTCCTGAGCGTGCCCATGATCATGCCCGCCTCCCCCCCCCCCCCCCTGCCCGCGATTGCACCCGCCTTTCCCCCCCCGCACCAGCCCCCCCCTCCGCACACCCAGGATCATGCCCATCTCCCACCCCAGGCACGCCCACTTCAAATTTTTGTGATTAAAAAAAAAAAATTACAGAACAGATTAACCTTATTTACATTGAACCTCAAGGGGAAATTTGACTTGGCTCATGACCAATTTGGGTCACAACCAGAGTCCTGGAATGGATTAAGTTTGTGAGCCAAGGTACCGCTGTACTTGACTACCGGAATATGAACTTTCTCTGAGAAGGAAGGGTTGAACCAGAATGGTGTTTTCTAGAATTCAGTAGGGATGACCTCATTGATGGTCTTTCTTACTTCATCTGCAATTGCATTTTATTCATTTACATTTCTCTCCTCTACCATACTTTAGAACAGTTTGGTGGTATTTGCATTTTTTTAACTACCTTGTGTTTAAATTCCTCAAATTCCTGTTGTGACCAAACCAGTGCAAACAAAGTACATCCTGTGGGTTACCAAGGATGAACTGGTCCCAGAAGAGGCCTGAATGCATCCAGATAATCGTCCATCTAGTTGCATCAAGCATCTATACAAATGACAGTTGGTGTCATTCTCTGGAGTTGTTACAGGAGAAGCCATTATAATTAGTGCTAGTAGTAATCACACTTCAATTTCCTTCAAGGCAGTATTGACCACAGACAGCATCGATCAGCATCTATCATTCCCCTGATCCATCCAGTCAGTTCTTCATGGCTAGCCCACATAAGCCCAAATTGGGGAACATGCTATATTTTCTGCTTCTCAAAGTGCGTAGGAGAGGGGTTTCCAATAGGCGGGGTGCCAGTAGTGAAAAGGACCACCATGAGGTACTGCATGGCAGTACTACTGAGGGAGGAGGCTATCTGTGTCTACTAGCCTTGATCATTACGCACTACCTCCTTTACAAGAGGCAGCGTGCCTGAATACACCAGTTGCTGAGGAGCTTGGGCAGAAGGAGATCTTGTACCCATCCTGCTTGAGGGATCCTGTGGGCACCTGGTTTGCCACTATGTGTATGGAGTGCTGGACAAGACAAGATGGACCTTTAGTCTGATACAGCACTGCTTTTCTCATGTTCTAATGGCAACCTTCAGAATGCCCAGGAAGGTGTCCTCTAAAGGCCTTAAAAATCAACTGGGATCATATAAGGGAAGGCAATCTGCTAGATAACTTGATCCTAAGTGGTTTGGGCTTTGTATGGCAATACCATAACCTTGACTGTAATTCAGTAGCCACCAGTTTTAAATGTACTTGTTCGGTTGATTCCCTTGTTTCAGCAGATCGTATGAGATTTATGGATTAATTTTATTTTCAGGCATATTGCTTGCCATTTTCACTCTACCACCCAATTATAGCATTATTGTTTTGGTTTTTTTCTTTTTCTTTTTGTATGAAGGTCTCATTAGTGTGAAAAAAGAGTTTAATACATTCATTCTGTATGCTTCAGAATGAGGGATAGCTTCTGCATGGCAGAATCAAAGTGTGCCCTTTGCATTTCTTCCTGTTAAGCATGAATTTAACACCACAAAAGATCACAAGAAAAAGAGGTTATCACTTTGTATTGCAAGATGCCAGTATTTTACATTCCCTTTCTTTTCCTCTACCTGCTAGAGTTTACTTGTGGCTTGTTTAGCATAGCTTTTGGCAGGCTTCACCTTTTAACAAAGCCCTTCTCCCATCACTGGTAACTAGTGCAATGTATTACTTAAGTAAAGTCAAATATGCAGGGGAGGCTGGTGACTCCTATCTCAGTGGGGTTCCTTATTCTATGTAGTTATTCTTTTCATCTCCCTAAGAGCTTTGCAGGAGCTATATGTGGTACTGTGCTCCATTCTAAAACTAGTGCACCACATGGAACACTGATAGTTCATCATATTAAGCTGAAAAGAAAAGATGTAATCGATAAGGAGCCCATTGGCATAGGAGTCTCCAGCCTTTTGTATAAATATGATATTAAAAAGAGGACTTGCAGCAGGTTCTTCATCTGCAAGGTGAATTTGACATCCTCCTGGCATAGCTCATTTGAATGACTAGTATGCATGCCAGCAAATTCAGCTTTGCCCCCTCCCTCTTGTGCCCTGCATTTGGGACATTTGGAAAAAATAATAACTGAACAGTGCTGGCTCCAAGTCTTTGAGAGCCCTTAAAAAGGACTTGTGGGCTTCAGTGGGCTTCCACCCACAGAAAGACTACTTTCTGTCTGTCATCATCACCAACTACTCTTGCTTTTTTCCTACTCTTGCTTTTTTAATCATTACTAGCACCTGCCTGCATCACAAAAAGTGTGACAGCCAACAAGAAAAGCTACTTGTCCTTTTCACCCATCATCTTGTTTATCAGCTCGTCAAAAAGCTGCAAAACTTATGGCAATGGTGGGAAGGTGGTTTTGTCCACAATTGGTTTCTGCAAACTAGCAGAACCATTCTGCCTTTGTTTTTATTTTATTTTGCTTTAAAGACCTCAAACCTGGAGAATGAATGGAAGCAAACGAAGTGGTCAGTTCCAAACTGTTCCCATGACATTATACATTCCATGTGTCATGTCACTACGAAAAAATTAGTGCAGATTAAACATGCATGAAAATAGACTGAATTTTGTTCACCAACATTATCTTTGCCACCATTAGAACCATCATATATGCTTGCCAAAAATATTACAGTCACTCAGTATATTGAATAAATTAGTGAAATGGCACAGTGAAATGTGTCTATCTACAGGGTAGGAGGTGACATTTCCAGGTAGGCAGAAATATTTCATTGTGAGCCGTCCCAAGGCTGTGTAGCAATGGGGACGGCATATAAAAAGTTTAAATAAATAAATAAATACTGAATATTGAATATTGAATATTTCATGGAAAAGTTTAACCTATAGGTTGATATATTTCTACCTGCCCCAACTAGTATATTGGGTTGAAACCCAAATCATATAATCAACTAATATGAAAACAATGTTTAGCCCCTATCATGTATCTCATTGTTTTTTTTCCCAAGTGTTTTGCTATTTTGGGACAATAGTTATAGTGTTTTATTCTATGGTACTTTGTGTTCCTATGATTCCCAAAACTCTGACCAATGGATTCCTTCAATGACATTTTTCTTTTATCAGACGTTGTATTTGTTACTCAGGAATGTGTCATGTAGTCCACTGGGCTTTCAGATTAGGTATCCAAACACAAGGTTTCCCTGTTCCATCTTCTGTGAATTAACAGTAGTTGTTAATTATTGTTAAAGCTAGTTACAGAGAAGATTAGCAGGCAAAACAAAAATGGGTTTTCTCAAGGACATCAAAAGGAAAGCAAAACTGTATCCATCTCAATAATTAATCATTAAAGGGAGCAAGGTGAAGAATATACATTCTTTCCACATAACTAAACAACAAGGGTCACAGTGACACAAGGGAGTCAAAAATATAAAATAAATCTCTGTCAAGAAATATGTAAAGATAAGCCTGGAAACAGATGTTTTGACACCAGATGTCCTAGAAGGAAGTGTTGGTCAAGATAACCATGTACAAAAAGTAACTGAATGTCTCCTGCTGTAACATGTTCTGCTAAATGTATTAATTTGCATGATGACAGGGCAGCTGCTCCCAAATGAAGATGAGCTCACTCTATATTGTCTATGTGTGCCTACAATAAAGGGTCTTTTTGCATACAAAACACTCTGCTGGTGTTGCCTGTCTGTCTCACAGTCGGACAATGAACAAGAAAGAGCTTTTTTGTCTTCAGCAAAGGTCACATGGATATTTTGCTTTAAAGTTTCCTAAAAGCAGGAAACCATGCCTGGAATGAAGGACCATCCCCACAAAAATGCAGAGGTCCCAATTAGCATCTAGCATTATCAGCCAGTTCAGACAAAAAGGCACGGCACCTCCCCTGGCACTCTGACTAGGACCTGTGCCACCTTTTTGCAATATTACATTCATGTCTTGAGCTCCCCAATTATTACAACAGTTTGACATGTTCCAATTGGAAACAAGCATTTTATTCTTGTTATGATAAATGGATTCACCATGGACGAAATCAAAGGAATACGAAGTTGCCCAAAATAGCATTTTTCAAGTAAGTGTGATGAAGAATACAATAAGCAGTGCTCATTCCTCCTACTCTACAGAGATGTTGCATTCAGTTTATGTAAAGGGCCATTTAGAACATATAAGAACCAAGTGCCTGGCAGGATTCCTTTTGTGGCAATTCCAATATGTTCTTGTCATATTTGCTGTAAAAGTGAATGCTAAGAGCCCTGAAAATGCTAAATAAATTGTCCGTTCTTTTTATTTATTTCAGAGATCCACAGAGACCTAAACCAAGAACATTAAGGAACAAAATAGTGATGAGACTGGTTTCAGCACAGAAAACTAGTTTGCATTAAGGTGAAGAAAGGAATCCATTTCAATTTTTTTTTTTGTACTGCCACAATGAGGACTTATCACTGCTTCTGGCTGCTCTTCTGGGTTACTCATCCTCACCAAAGTTCTTCCAGCCCATTATCAAGAAGAACTAGAGGCTTGCCAGAAAGCCCAATGGTTTTGGATCTATCTAGAAGCCACAAAAAAGAGGTTAATCGTTCCAAAAGAAGCTGGATGTGGAATCAATTCTTTCTTTTAGAGGAATACACGGGCTCTGACTATCAATATGTTGGCAAGGTAAGGTATTTATTTTGACCTTCATTTATACCTAGAGTTTTGAGAAGTCTCTCACACTGGGCAAGACAGTATGGCATGACCTGGCATGTGAGTACAATCGCTGCCTCGTATCAACGTCTCCTAACCATTCTTGTAGGGGAATTGCAGCATATATGGTTCATCAGCTCCATGCAGGAATGGACCGGAAAAAGTGGTCTAATTTACATAACAATAGCCATACAAGCTTAGAGTAGAATCTGCAATTAGGACTTGTTTGTGCTTCACAAGAAAGTCAATTTAAAGAATATCTTAACTCTTCCAAGAAACACCGTGTTGTTGAGTCTGCAACATAGAAAATTAACATATCCCCCTTAGTATCAGTAGAGCTACATTGATTTATACTGTCTAAGCAGTGGTATTAAAGAAGGTGTTTGAACAGAATAGACTGCTCAGGACACTGAATGCTTATCATGGAATGATTCCTCTGTCCTTCTCAAAATGAGTCAGGAAATACTTTTGAAGTGGTAAGAGTGAAAGTGGAGACTAATCTGCAAATCTGGCAAGTTCTGGTGTGTGCTTAGTCCCAAAATGTTACAGGTTGCAGGATGACTCATGTGCTGATGTAACTGGGGACTTGGGTGATGCCGTTCTCAAGCAGCGTTTTGTTCTTGTTGCAGTCCCTCGCTTTCTTCTTAAGAGCAGCTTCCTTGATGTTGTGACTCCCAAAGTTCTACAGAAATCTTGTTGTATGTGCTGATTGTCCTCTGTCATGGGACAAAGAGTTTCAGTGGTGGGTGGGAGAGGTGGAGATGGAGGAGGAGTGGAGAAGCAAAAGTGCAAAGGACCAGAGACAAAAGGGTCAGAGCCACAAATATGAGCATGGTTTAGTTCGAGGCTTATATTGCCAGTAAGTGAGCCTACTAGGACAAAAAGGTCAAACTTTTAGAACGGGGGTGGGGGGTGGGGGGAGATACACAACAAGAAACGACCAAACAACTGATGGTGAGGGAAAAGGGGACAGGGTCAGAGCCATGGAAGCCATGACCCTGTGCAAGGATCCCAGGCAGACTGGATTTAGCCCATTGCTTCAGTGGGCTGCTACTTCAGTGACTCCGTGTTACCTGTACTGCATACCGTTCAAGCTTTGTTCTAGAAAATGGTAAGAACTAGGAATGAACTTCAGAAATGGTGTTTTTCTGCAGCTGCTAGCTGTTTTACCAGAGTCGTCTTAGGTGAATATAAATTGCTTCCAAGGAGCCAGGCAGGCAATTGTTAGAAGAGTCGGTTCTGTGTTCTTTTATGTTGTGAATGACTATCACAGGCCCCAGTCTTCTATTATTACTGCGATGTGACTGGTTTTGCATTACTATTTTTGGTGAGCCACTCAAACGCTTCCCTCCAGAGGCAGAACAGAAATATATTAAAGAAATAGCATTGGTATGTATGGGCTTGTATTATATGTATATGCATATAGAGTGCCTTGCGGAAATAGTCACACACTCCCCTTTGACTTTTCACATTTTGTGGTGCAACAAGCTGAAACTGAAATAAATACAAGCTACTCAACATTGAGGAGGTGCAGTTTTTTTCTTTCTTTTTTGTGGCACAAAAATGAATGAAACAAAAACAAACTAGCAGTTGTTAGTTGTAGATGTATTCACTTCTTTTCTATGGCATGTATAAAAAAACTTTGCAGGCAAGTTGCCATCCTGCTAAATCCTTTATAAGTTTCAAAGAAAGCAAACATCAGCAAGTCAAAGATGCTCCAGTGCCTTTCTTCAACATTATATTCGAGAACTTTTAACTCTGTTCTGGGTGATTTTCATAATGTGGGATTTTGTTTTAGAACCCAACCCTAGTGGGTCCATCTGCACAGCTTTATCCCATAATTGTCTTGATAGCTTAGTCTTCATGATGTTGTTTGTTGAGATGTGCTCTCCAACAAACTCTGAGGCTTTTTAGAAACAGATATATTTAATTGGAGGTCAAGCAGCACTGGAACTGCACACAGGTAGACACCATTCAACTTCTTAGATTGTAGTGAACTACTTGGAGCAGTGGGTTACACCAAAGAAGCTATTGAGAGTGCATGAAATGTAATTGACAGCACCACTACAACCATTGGTGAAGTTCAGCATTGCGAATCCTAACACTAATAAATAGATAATATAACTCTAACTAGGAAGGAGGAGAACAATATAAAGAAAGGGTACGGTATTCTTCCTAGATCCAACACCGCTCATTCTACCAGATCAGGTTTTATTTCCGCGTCACCTCTTAGACCTTGTGGACAAAGTATTTTCCATCTCAGGGCCATCTTCCTGACCCACCGTTCACATGGCATACTCTCTCCCTACCGGGTTTTCACTGAGTCGGTTCCTGAGAGCCGCCAAAGAAAGGCAAGTGCTGATGGCAGCCATGACTGGCAGCATAACTCGGCACTTATACAATGCAGGCTGCTTTGATCATTATTGTTCTGTTTTGGTACAATAATGGTTTATTTAGTGCTCTGGCTTGCATCTTATGCCTTGCAGCCATGCTTCTTATAGCAGCAAGGTTGTTATTCTTGTTTAGCATTCTGGTTAGCTTGTATTTGTTAACTTGGTTTATCCTGCCCCTTCCTTCAGCACCTAGGCGTGCATGAGTGTTTGTGAGAGAGACTCTTCCTACCTCCTATGTGATATTTAGCTGAGATTAGTTTTCTTTAGAAGGAAACAGTGGGAACAGAGAGTATTTCTGTAAAGGCTGGGTTTATTTCCAAGTATGCATGGTGAGCATACAAGGAAGAAATCAGTTCTTCCAGGCAGACTCACTTTCCCACAGCAAATCACCAGAGTGACCCCAGCAGCTTGAGAAAGTGCTTCTCCCATCCTCGCAACTTCTTTCCTTCAGCTGTTTTACGCGCGCGCACACACACACACACACACACACACACTCACACACACACACAGATTATACTATCCTTTGTTGCAGGATAGAAAGTGTGCCTTTGCTCACACACACTGGCTTCCATGAGTTCCCCTATCCTGAAAAAAAATTGCCATGTACATGCCACCGCTTCCTATTCAAGATATTCCCCAGCTCCAGAGACATTACCCAGTAATCTGCTAATGCTATTTCCAGTACAGCCAGTCTAGTATCCAATGGTATTTGTGAAGTAAGCCTTTGGGAAGGTCATATCATAAATCAGGAAACTAGCCACACTCCAAAGGATAAAGTGACTTGTTAGCTGAAGGCAGCCCTGCTTTTGCTCTCCTAGTCTTTAGCCTTGCCTCTTGTTTCCCGCTTTCCTCCCCACATCTTGCAAGCACGCATGAGGTTGAGAATAGAGTGGGGAAACTCTCAGAGTTAATGCATTGGCTATGTGCTTCTTTTTCCATCCTCTGCACACCTGATTTGAGGGAAAGCATTTCAGCTGTTGGATGGTAGAGAAATGTAATTAGTTACTAGAATGGCATGGCATGGCATAGAGTTTTTCTGCAGAATAATGAGTGCATGTGTGTTTTCTTGTTTCAAGATTTGGAAACCAATCCTTTGCTTAGAAATATGCCTACTGAGATCATAAAATGTCAGCTCTCATAATCCTATTACACACTTTTGTGTGTGCAGCTGAATGTGTGAACTGCATTCATCGATGGAAAGTTGAGCTGGTGTAGGGGATATAAAAGTTCAAGCTGAGTGTTTGAGCTGTGATGGCTCATTCTCACATGCAGGTAACACTTATGGTTAAGGCTTAACATTCATGGAGATGAGCATTCACATAAGATGGTGGCCTTCAGTCTTAAAGCACTGGGTCTTGCTTCTGCATACATGGGGTACTATTCCAAGCTTTGTGCACATTTGCTAAACATTTTCCACTGGTCACTTCCTATGTGACATTCTCAGAATCCAGAAAAACAGAAAGCAAAACTCTGCAGCTCTTTCTCCCGTGAGCCTTTGGAACATGGGCCTGATTTTTAAAGTACTTCCTCATTATCCACATATGATTGCAATTCATAGCGCCATCACTTCAACAAGCCTTTGTTCCATAAATTAATGTAAAACCTTTTCCGTACTAGGACAACCCTTCCTAACCAGGTGCCCTAGCTGGTGATGATGGAAGATGTAGTCCAATAAATCTGGAGGGTGCCCTTGTGCAGAGGAGCTGAAATACCCATATTTCTTAGCTAAAATGCAGATAATAGGGACTAAGACTGAGTTGGTAAGACAGAGAGAGGAAATGTGATAGGCCCTGGAGTTATGTTTGAAGTTATTTATTTAAGTGTGAATGGCACTTTATCTTGCAAAGTACAGGATGGACACATGGTATATAAATGTCATTGATTCCATGGCCATGAGCACTTCACAACTGGCCTTCCGAGTGTTCTTGGGTGTCAGAGTGGCTCATGCTCTTGCAATTGAACAATTAGCCATGAGGCACGAAAGACAAGCACATGCATTATTGGAAGTGGCTGAAGTGTTAGAAGGAGAATCACTATGTAATGTCTCATTGATTAGAGCAGATTCTACACAAATTAGGTTTGAATAAATATACTAAGCAGCGGAAGCCAACAGCAACAAGTTGCTCCTGCAGACGATGCTTAGGCTTGCTCTTTGCTTAAGACAATTTAGAATCTATTATCCAGTGCCAGTTTTCAGCCCCTTTGCAAGATGCAGGTAGTACTTGATCCCCTTTTCAAGGTTATCTGTGCTCTTGTACTCTTGTGGTGAATCTTGCTGCAATCTGTCTGAAACAAAAATGAGATGTAACACCAGAATGATGTGGTCTTATAATGGTTTGGGACTATTCGGATGACATTTTAACAGACGTGGTGTTCGGTAAATGTTACTTTAAAATGTATGAAACACCTAGTTGCTCTCATTCAGATTGCTGGCCAGCCCTAGCGTTCACACTGCCCCATGATGACTTGCTTATTTGCATTTATTTTACATTCTGGGGTATCCTCCAGACCCCCAGATGCAAATTTTGTGCCACAACTTATAGTGAAGCCTTACTAAATGACATCTTGCCTTCTGATTCT